TGCATGCAGTGATCAAATTATACGTCAAAAAACAGACACCCAATGACAAAATCTGTGAACTAACAGTCCTGAATGGGGTCCATTAGACAGAACAAGGCTACAGATCCGAGCTCAGTCATTTGGTGCTACAAGAACCTCTCAAAGAAGGCCAGCTGGTTATTAAGAAACATGAATGTTAGTATACAGTGGGTTGGCAGGTCTGCCAACGCTATGGCAGATTATCTTGCTAAACAAGGGGTTTTGAGGGAACATTTGTACTGGGCTACCTTGTAATCTTGATCTATAGTGCTATGTGATTTTCACTTTTTAAGGGGGGTCACACCTCGTGCCTCTCAGTAAGATGATTGAAACAGTTCTCATATTGTCTTAACAAAATTCCTCTTCAATTATCAAAAAAAAAAATCCTATTTTTAATAACCTCAAGGATAATCATGATAAGAAGATATGATCCTCATAGCCCTCTGGCTCCTTTCCAGATTGGTCCTATTTCTTCTGGTTTCTTCCCAGCTACAAGGTCTAGTTTCGGGTCCAGTTAGCAACCTTAGGTAAATGCCTAACTATTGATAATCTAAATGGTAGACGGATGTCTGGACAACATAGATTGTATGTTCTGCTCCAATAGCTGAGAATCAGCTAGCAATATATTCCTATGTTGCTCATGGACTTCACCGTGGATGACCTGTTGAGGAGTTGGAAAGAGATAGCAAGTTCTGCCCAGATTAAAAGGGTCACAAGTCCCTCTTGGATACCTCCCCCCTCGGGCTTCCTAAAACTGAATTTTGATGGCAGCAGCCTTGGGAACCCAGGCTTGTCAGGTATTGGGGGAGTTTTCAGGAATGAGGAAGGGATTATTTCAGCTATTTACTCTGGCCCTATTGGAGAGGGTAACTCTATTAGGGCTAAGATTTTTGCGGCATTAGAGGGAGTTCAAAGAGCAAGAGACCTAAACATTAGGAGACTGATAATTGAAGGGGACTCTCAGGTGGTGGTAAGATGGCTAAAGGAAGACAAGATTGCAACGTGGAATTACAGCAACAAAAGAAAAAGGTTTAAATGGTTGGCAAAAGATATGGAGATAAACACCCAGACTTCTTGCCTATGGCTAAGGAATGGTGGAGTGAAGAATTGAGAGAAGTGAAATGGGAAGGGGTTAGATTCCACAAAAAACTAAAAAGGTTGAGAGGCAAATTAAAAGAATGGAATAAGGTTCACTTTGGAAGAGTGGAGGAGGTAAAAGTTAGATTATTGGTTCAGATTGAGGAGTTAGATGCAAAAGAATCCCAAGAGATAATGGATGAGCAAGACAGAGAATTAAGGAGGAAACTGAAAAAGGAGCTAGAGGAGACTTTGTTGAGGGAGGAGATTTCTTGGAGACAAAAATCCAGACATAGTCAAAGAAGACTTAATTGGAGTATTTAGAGAATTTGAGCATAAAAATTTTGTGAGTCCTGGAATCAATGCCACCTTTATAGCCTTAATTCCCAAAAAGATTAATGCCAGACACCCCAAAGATTTTCGGCCAATTAGCCTAGTGACAAGCATTTACAAGATTCTGGCAAAAGTGCTCTCTAGGAGGATCAAAGTTGTTCTCCCCTCTCTCGTTAGCCAAGCACAAGGAGCCTTCATTCAGGATAGACAAATTATAGATCAGATCCTTATTGCAAACAAGAATGTGGAAAAGATAAGGAGATCGGGCAGGAAAGGATTTGTTTGCAAACTGGACTTGGAGAAAGCCTATGACTTAGTGGATTGGAATTTCTTGCTGGAGATGTTGAGAAGACGTGGCTTTGGGGATAAATGGTGTAACTGGATAAGAGGATACTTACACTCTTGTCGTTATTCAGTGCTAGTGAATGGGATGGTTAAGGACTTTTTTCCAACCAATAGAGGCTTAAGACAAGGGGATCCACTCTCTCCCTTCCTCTTTACACTTATTGCTGATGTTTTTAGCAGGATGATTTCCAAAGCAAATGAGGAGGGCCAAATAAAGGGATGGAGAATAGGGAGCAGAGGCATTCCAGTAACTCACCTTCAGTTTGCTGATGATATTGTTATTTTCTGTGAAGGGATTGAGTTAAGCAAAGTGGAGAACCTTAAGATCTTAATATGTACCTTTGAGAGGGTCTCCAACTTGAAGGTAAATCTTGATAAAAGTTGTGTGGCTGGAGTAAACTTGGAGAATAGGGAGATTGAATCCATTGCAGAATGCTTAGGTTGCAACATTTCTTCTTGGCCTTTGACATACTTAGGACTACCCTTAGGAGCCAACCCTAAAGAAAGTAGTTTCTGGGCCCCTATTGTGGAGAAATTTGATAAGTGCTTGGGGGCTTGGAAAAAGAATTACATTTCAATAGGGGGTAGGCTGACTTTAATTAAGGCTACACTTGCCAACCTTCCAACCTACTTCCTTTCTGTGTTCAGGATTCCTCTAAGGGAGGCTAAGAAATTGGAGAAGAGAATGAGGGACTTCCTATGGGAACCAGGAGAGGTGAAAAAGGATCACTTGATCAGATGGGAGATAGTTAATAAACCAAAGGGAATAAGGGGGTTTAGGGATAGGGAACATAGTGTTGAAGAATGTAGCCCTTCTAGGGAAGTGGCTATGGAGATGGCCCCGAGAGAGAGAGAGATTATGGCATGAGGTGGTGGCAAGCATTCATGGTTGTGCAGGAAATGGTTGGGATTCCGGGATATCTCGTCGAGTTACCCTTACTACACCTTGGAAGGCTATACATGGTATTCTCCCTC